TAAAACTTAATAAGTACAAGCCCTTTATCGTAAATGTAGGTGTTTCACTATTACGGTAAAATAAAACACGCTGTAGACTTTGGGAGGTATTAGAGGGCACATGGAACATATGTTGTACAGGGAATGTTGGGACGATCTAGATACAGGGTGTTGGTAGGTAAATAAGGTCGTTACTCGATGTAGTGCTCTGTATCTTGACAGTGATTGGATGAAATTAGAGGATCGTAAACACACGTGATCTGAGCGTTGTTTGCACATCCTCTCTCTTGAATAGGCCGGTCCGTGGAGCCCTTTCAGCGGTTGATGAAACACAAACTATGTCACTAGGTACTGCCGAAATTTCGGATGGTGTTTGTAGTTGCAAACGAACTACCTTGTGTCGGGTAATGGGGTTTCTGAGCATGTCTAAGTGAGTTTGTGTCTACTCGATAGTAAGTACGTCTACCACCAGGAGATTAAAGATAACCAATTCCAAGTTGAAAGCCTTAGAGCGTAATGCCTCTTTTGTAAGGGAACTGTATTGAATAAAAGGTTTTAGGTTTAAGACTAAATATAGTTACATTGAAGGGCCATTCATATATTGTGTTAGTACCGGCCGTTGGAAATAGTGACTATTTTACGAAGTACGAGTAACTTACTACACAAAGAGTAAGAAATATTTTTTGTGGCAAAAACAACTCTGTGTGAGCTTTATGGAAGATAAACATTGGTTAGTGAACATCAATTTGTTTATAGATTATCAAATTTATTAACGCAAAACAACATTTTTCGTTAAATTATCGGCTCTGTAAAATACCACATATCAACAACATTTCTAAACACACAAAACCATAATAATGCTACAACCAGCATCGAGAACTCAATTAACTAAACAACTAATTCCACAAACTTTAAACACAAAATCAGTGCATCCATCAAGTGTTTGAAGAGACTCCATCTGAATAGTGTAGCAATTCCATTTATCATAATTCACCTCCAGTGAGGGAACTAGGTAACGTCAGGCACTTCCGTGGCACATGATTTGCATAATAACCGAACTAAGTATACCCTCACATTTACAGTCAAATCTAAACCATAAATTCAAGGCCGCAAGAGTGGTTTTACATGAACTTATTTAACCTAATCACTCTCCGTCCGATCAATTCTCATACACAGAATCAAAGACACTTGAGCGTATTACGGGTATGTTAATGGATAATAGTTTCTATGGAGTATGGATTAGAGTTTAATTACATGTTTTGATTTAGATTTAGGGAATATCGTCGAATAAATATTATAGAAACCATTAATGTGTGTGTAGCCATTTAGAGCTGTTGTTCGTATTGGAGCGAATAATATTGAATCTTTTCGTAGACATTTTATGTGAATGCGATATTAACAAAAATGGTACTTGGCAACTATTTTCTTTTGCTAACAAATGATCTTCGACAGACTATATAAGTCAATTGCTTCTATATTATTTTTAGTACTTTTTAGATAATATACAGAGACGCCTAGATATATTACGTTTCAAGCATAACTCAATTCAAATATTACTTCATAACAGCAATTTACGAATAACAATTTATTACTATTGTCTACTAAAATATCAAATTCTCTACCAGGTTTGATGTTCCGTGCATTTGAATATTATTATTACATTGGAAAGTAACTTACTATATGTATGGTAACATACAAATATATTAACCTAGAACTAAAAATAGACTTATTTAATATAAGGAATAAGGACAATCCGGATAAAGGCCCATAATAGGGGTCGGGATCCTTGCCAACGAGGGAAAAAAAGAATAAAAAGAGGGCGACTTATATCAACCAATGATAATAAAAGAAACAAAAATCATTCGACAACTTTCGCAGGTGAGCACTCGCCCTTCCAATACTTAGCACGTCGTTCTTCAAAAACTAACTAAGCTCATTTCATATTCACTTTACATCACGGCAACCCCACTTACAAAAAATTCAAGGCCGATAGTGATGCCGATAGGCAAATACCCGCCCCAAATCATGACCTAAAATCGGGCAATTTATCACCGACAGACCTTTGTGCCTGTGCCATCAATCTTGAGATTCCACCGCACTCAACACTCCAACTAATTATTGTCGATCGTGTCAAGACAGTTTGCTTGCGGATCTAACATTTTTTCAACATAAGACTTATGCTTGGCGTACGGCTTGCCATAAATTATACACTTCTTCGAACAATTAAGTGTTCGGAGTGCCTAAACTTTCCAAAATGAAAATACTAGCAATACGTCAAGTAGCGATGGTTCTTAATAGATGAATGCAGGGGCATAGATCACTTGAAGCAAAGGGGAGCGAAATGAAACCATCCATTACGGGCAAGAAGGACATCTCGAAGACGGTAGGCGAGAAGATTTCCCTCAGTACCGAGAAATGAGCGAAACACCCGCCCCGTGTGTTAATAATAAAACAATACACGCCATACGTTACATTCATAACCCAGTGTAACAATACGAGTACATTTGTTTTTGTTTCCTCCGTGACAGCTGCTCTACATAACGTTAATGATACAATATGTTACAAAGACAACATCTAATACCGGCATAGTAATTTTCACGTGTTACCTGACTAAGCGAACACCTTTTTAGCCGCAAAAGAAAAACATCCAGGTAGATTTATTTACGCCCAGGAAGTAACATAGCAACATTAAGTTAATAAAGCATAAAAATATTTTACAGCGACTCATGGAGTGGCATCCACACGCGAGTAGGGAAGAAGGGCCATTTGCTTTATTACATTTACATTATACGCCCGTTAAAGCAGCCAACTGTACAAAATGTTGCATAAAATTCCTTTCTCGTGTCGCGATTGATCTTTTACTTCCTTTCAAATAATGTTTGCTTAGGGCACCGTTGAATAATGTACGCCAAATTTATTTTTTCGCGTCTCTCTTAATTTGCCTCCTTGAATATGTACAGAATTATTTATACACACACAGCCGCTACATAATACTTGATGATCTGAAAAAGTACCCCAATTTACTCGAGTTGAACCGCTTCAAACAATACGGAACCTTCGTTCAATAAATGTTACTTTGCTTCCTTTTCTTTGAATACGTGCAAAAACAAAATTATGTATGCCTCAGACGATACGAGCGTATATTGTAATGGTTGTCTTTATTTTTGTCCCCGATCATAAATTTTCATTATAACGACTATGTTCATATTCGTTTCCCTGATGTATATGAAATAACAAGTCTATGGAAGGATGTTATGCAATGCTACGCAAAGGCAAAAGTAGTAAATAGAATAATGTCACTCAATCCATTCATTCTGACTATATGAAATTAATAATGAAGCAACAGAACATTGCCCTAAATTTCCTGCCTTTTCGGTTGTGCTCGTTGACTGCCAAAAATAAACTGAATCCAGAAGTTACCAACCGAATATGAAAAATCTAACGGTTGGAAACAAACCCGTGTATTGCATTTTTATTTGCACACCTACGCAGTGTGGTTGTAACGCAAAGAGAAGAATAGGTTTCACAGTATATACTGGAACACAGACGTTATATTAGAATACGAAGTGATTGTGTTTGGTTAAGCGAATGGCCGCAGGACGTGCCGGCCACGCAACAACAAACGTGCGTTGCGGGCGAATTTTTGAAAAGCAATCCGCGAAACAGAACAGCGTGTGCAAACAACCAGCTGACATTGGCTTTGGGCTCTGATATTTATCGAAAACTAGTGCGGACGTGAATGCAACTATTCTCAGTCTCCAATACACGCCAGCACTTACAGGCGCAAATAAAAATTGAAAAATCCACGCTCGCAAATCCTCGGAGGGTCGCGATTCTCACGTTCCTCACGCAACCGACCCTTCTCTTACAAAGAGCTTGAACTGCGACGTTATTTTTGTAATTATTTATTTATTGAAGCTCAACAGAACATTCTCGAAATATGCGTTATGTTAACATTAAATGTGTGAGGTAAATAATGCTATAATGTCAAAACAGCTCGTAAGTGTATGTGTGTTTATAATACATGTGTTTTTCTGACAATTGCCTTACATACTCTGTGGAATATTTTGTAGATAACTAAGATAGTTTCAGTTTCGATACGCAGCCAACAATATAAAAGATGTTTAAATGTTATATTGTTTTCGCCCCATGTTAACAAAATTATGACATAGTGCACTAAAATTAATTAAACAAAAAAGCGAACGGCAATACTATAAAGTCTTCTATTACAATTGTTATCAACGGATACAAAGTTCATCTATCCACGTCACCATGGTAACGACCCTAATAACTTCCTAATAGCATAACAAATCACTTTTAATTTTGTTTACCATCGCTTTGGGAGTGACTCAGTTATCTCCCATTCTCTATCTAATTATGTGAATTATTATATATACATTGAGGACGTAAAAACAAACGCGACTGGTAAATAAGTAAATTGGTAAAGGAGATTAGTTCGAGAAAAAAGATTGTTTGATTCGATGAAGATGAGAAATAAAAAGCCAAATTGATATTAAAAAAATATTATCAATGTCATTCAACATCTTCAGCCTTTACGTGCCTATTTCTAAGTCAACCCTCTTCTCACACTGAGAAGGTTTAAGCATTATGTAACGACCACGCTATTTCTAGGCAGATAGAGTTTATGAAAAACTTAAAAATTACTTATAACTCGGAAAACGTTACTCAAAGTCAAAGTCAAAATCAATTTATTCCAGCTAAAAAGGTACTTTTGAAAAATCTAAATAGAATAATAGTCAGTTTGTTCGTCAATGAAGTGCTGGTTCCAAAGTGTAGATTGGAATGGAAAAGAACAAGCAAGAAACTCTATCGTTAATCATTTTTTAAAAAAGCTTTGGCACTTGCTAAATTTTAATACTCCGGCCCAACACGATAATAATAAAAATATAATATCGAATCGAAAATAAAACAACTTTTTCAAAGTGTATTAACATGTATTTCTATTATAGTATATATTCAACATGAGAAACACAATTTACTAAATCTAGACTAAAACAATAGCGTCGTACCAAAATTACAGCTCCATAAATTTACTTTCATGAACAGCATCGCACAATGTCTTGAAAATAACGACGGTATAAACAAGTACGACAATACTAGGCGCAGATAACTAAGCAATATGACCCCTATATTTAACCACGTACCACAATGTATTTTATCACGGCACACAGTTGCTAAAATACCATTTCTGCTACCTTTAACTTAGGCCGTACATCAGTTTTAATGTTCCCACATCCTCCGTGTATCAATTACAAAGTCCTCATTTGCGTCCACCATAAGTTTTGCTTTCCTCCACACATTCTACATCACTGCATTCAATATTAAAACTAATGGCTAAGAAAACAGGAACTATATTAGCTGAGCTTACAGACTTACTTACTGACCTGTTTATGTTGGCCCCTATATCCTTTCTTACACATACTACGTTCTTGTTTCCCCAGTATACGGCTTGCTTACAGAGTCCACTTTATTTATTTTTGTTCTAAGTAAAAGAAAATCATGAAATAGTTTGTCGCGTTTGAGCCCTTAGAAGCCAGTAATTTACTTTATGTGATGTCCCATACTGTATCCAAAGTCAGAATGTAATGCATTCTTGGAGAAAAGGATGATACACAAATTAATGGCATGCTTTGTGACACTGCAGGACTTAACTGCTGTATAAATATGTATATTGTTAGTTTGTTCTCATTACATTACATGATTCTGTGATTTTCACCTCTAAGCTATTTTACAATTTAGTTATTGAGTTAAAACAGTACTTTGGTCGAGTTTAACTTTATAAAATAACATCAAACCAATATTTCGCCGTTATCTATAACGTAAATACTGCCCGTGATACTGCGCGCGCGATCGCTCGATAGATAAAGAATCAGGTCAGCGACCTCCTCGCTTTCTGCCATTTTACCGAGCGGGTACAATGAGCAGCGGGCTTTGTATAACTCCGAAACTTGTTCTTTGGTAAATCCAGCTGTTTCCGCGAATGGGGTATTAGTGCCGCCTGGATTGACAGAGTTGACGCGAACACCTTGACGACCTAGCTCCACCGCCAAACACTTGGTAAATTGGTCGAGAGCCGCTTTCGATATACAATACGGCAGGTAATTCACGTCCTTGATCGGTCGTAAGGCCGCTACGCTCGATACGTTCACAATGTTCCCCTTTGTTTTGATGAGATGTGGCGCCGCTAAGCTGGTCAGATGGTACACTGCGCGCAAATTAGTAGCTATAGCACGGTCAAGTAACTCTACACCTTCTAATATGCTTCCTTGGACTCCAACGCCAGCGTTGTTCACAAGAACATCGATGCGACCAAACGTGTTTATGGTTCTTGTGACAATATCCTTCACATCGTCGTCGTGAGACAACTCCGCCTTGATAGTTAGTGGTTTAATACCTCTTGCGTCTTCGCATTGTTTCGCAACTTTGTTCAAAGATTCTTCATTTCTTCCAACTAAGACAACTTTGGCAGACTGCTTGGCGTACAATAGCGCGGCAGCTGCTCCGATGCCGGAACTCGCGCCGGTGATCACGATAACTTTGTTGTCGAAGTCCATCGTCGCCCGCGCCACGATTGTAACTAACGGTTTTACATTTTTGTCAACCAGTTTTAAGTAGTAGCTTAGATAAGAAACATGACCTTCGACATTCTATCGTTAATTAATAGTTAGTCTCGAGACAAAAAATACTTAGAAGTTAAAAAGAAAATTGTATCTTCTATTACTACCTATCATTCGTTCAACCCTTGGATACAACTTTGTATATTCACCTCGAACATTGCTACAGCAATTTCCTTTAACTTTAATAAACTAAGTGCAATGAAATCATAATAGGTACCTGGTAAACTCGTAATCAGAACATTAGCCAGTGGTTATTACGTTAAGCTAAGCATGTACTACGGTTGACTTGGCAAAGCGAGAAGAGAACTACGGTCCGTGAGTAACACATACGTAGGTAATAAAATTTTGCGGTTTTATGGACGCGTCATATTCTCGGGACAAAGTGAATGTTTTTTAATGAAATATTTCAGCAATGACAGAACGGGCCGCAGCCGCCGCAGGAGAGACGTGTGCATTACACAAGCCGTCACGCGTACCACGAATATTTCTGTACGTTAGCCTGTCATTTTATTATTGTCGGCGGACTCGAGGGAAAATGTGTTAGTAGAATTATTCGCCGCGCGTTCTTTTTTGTAAAATATTTCACATGCTTCAGTGCCAAAACCTACACACATTTTATTATAGCTAGAACTTTTGATACAGATCTTACTTTATAGTCATAAAATACAGATTTTAAAATGGCATTAACAACGGAAGATCTGTTAATCCATTCATCCTGACTTTCCTCTCGTATCGAGGGCAAACTACGTAATGTTGGTTCCGAGGCATGCCATTTACATGAATGATTATTCGGGTGGATAGAGGATTGCGAGCAATTTTAACTCTTGAGATAAGGGAATGTGGGGCGGTTTTTGTGTGAGCGAATTCTGAGACCATTCCGAAGTTTATCTGTGCAAGCCGCGTGGAAAGCATTGTCCGGACCCGTTAGCCTATGTTAACACGACGCTTCCCTAGTCGGTAGACACACTGTAAACATAAATCGAATTCCATCAAATATTATATTTTTACTCAAAATGTTTCTTCTTGTGTAAAGACAAGATATGGCATCTTGTCTGTGTTTGTTTTGAGTGTACAAACTTGTGGAATAGATAATGTTTTGGTTGTTGAAGATATGTGCTGAATATTTGGTCTTTAAAGTGATCCTAAATATCATTAAAGTAACATCATATTATTTCATGAGTAAATTCGTGGTCGCGATTACCTATTGTCTTATTGATACGACACGATTAAAAGGTTAATAGCCTAACCAATACTATCCTAATTGCAGCTATTCTTGCACTATAAGCATTATCTTCCACAGTAATTGATTCAATAAACCAACCAGAATAATTTCCTGAACAATTTATAAAGCTTTCATACATCGCCAAATGAGTTTCTAACCTGTAATTAATGCAAAATGTAATGCGGCATTACTGGAGGTCAGTGCCTAACTAATTTGTACTGATTACTTGTTATTCTGCCGCAGAATGTTAACATCGCGCGGCCATGTTGACTTTGCCGGCAAAAATGACGCTCAAATGTGTAGCTCAAAGGAAAAATGTGGAGAATAATGGGCTGAACATTAACTTTTGTGCGATAGCGGTGAGAGCCGTTCAGTTATTTTGTTGCAATTAAATTATTAGCTCTTTTTTGCGATGGGATTCTAACAGTTTGTATTAGATTTAGTGTCGAACTTGACTGGCATTAATGTAAGAGAGAGAAAAAATTGTGAAGCAAACTTGAATATGTGATAAAACAAGTCTGTATATCACCGACCTACTACCAACCACCTACCTTTCAACCTACCCACCTATATAATGTCAAAATATGTCATAAACGAAACATTACATCTTACCAAATAAATGTTTGACAAGTAAAGTAGCAAATAGCAAGAAATATAGCTACAATATAAAACAATACTGAACAATATTTGGAACAAGCTTTAAACTTTTCAAACATGATAAATAACTGGCCACATCATTTCAAGGTAAATGTTACTCCAGTGGAGCCAAGACGTTGCGCAGTGGGTGGCGACATCCGAAGTTAGGCTCTTATCATAAATCTTCGTGGGCCTGCAATGGATCACTCGGCATCGGCCACCCTTACCGCGCCCCTCATCATTTATACTTTATTATTGAAGACTTACGAATCTCCAACCCTTTAAAACATTCAAATAGGGTATATTTAAATCTCCAAATAAAGTAATAAAACTTTATCAATATCTTTTATGACGCAAAAACTATCTACAAGTAAAGTTTTTGTCACCTCGATCAAATCCAATCACGACAGATAAACGAGGTAAATTGAAAAAAAATAATTGCTCTCAGCGATCCATTGAAACGCGAACAAAACCTATCAGTAATAGCGGTCATAATACACCTATTTTAAAATTAAGATTAGTGTGACAATTTAAATTCACAACTAGTAACACAATTTTCATCGAAATTGGGTTGTCATCAACCAACGAATAATGTCATGCGACAACTAATCATACAGTAAAATTAAATTGTCATTTTACTGGAAATATCAAACTGACGACCGACAGAAAACCAAAGTTTCACACCAACGCGAGCGCGCCGACCAATGAATTTATGAATTAATTAAACGTCAATAACTAAACCTGTCAATATTCAAATTCGTGTAACATGCAATGTATAGAAACAAGCGGGCTTGTATTTTCGTTCCATTGCGCATTACCATAGTTCTTCAATGCCTTTTAACTGACAACAGACTACAATGGATTGTAAAATGAAAACAAGTTGATGGTTCTCTGTACATTTCAGAACATTGGCCGACATGTATCTACTAGTAATAAAGTAACATGAATGCATCAATTAGACGGATAGATGGATACATTGGCAAATTTATTCTTTATCAGAACTTCATTCAAGTGTTCATATACATAGAAATGTCTTCACTTCTGACGATACTTAAGGGGCAAGTAAAATTCCTATGCGGTATTGATATTCAAAACAGACTTAGAAACACGATTCAAAAATCTTACAACCTAGTTTACATTCGTTCTCCACCAAAATGCTCTTTAAACGGGATTCTTTTTGTAATCAAACATCTATTTATTATATTTTCATGTCTATGGAGTAATTCAAGTACATTTATATAGATATGGTCCAACAAAGTTGCTTCATGATTACTCATCAATCCACAAAAAATAAAATATAATGTTTTGGATAAAGTCAATAATACAAACTCACATAAGCATCGCTAATCCGCATCGCTTAGCGTTTTTTATGCGGAAATCGCAGATATTCGGTTCAAGGAAATCAATCAGGGAGCGATTGGCCACGGCTCAAAGCGGATGCGGTTTATGTTAAGCGCTTAACTCATTATTTGGCTGTGGAACAAGAAGATCGATGTGCCAAAAATAGCCCAATACAACGTTTTAGCTCGCTTCGCATTTTCGAGGATTTAAGTTTTATAAAACAATGCTTTGATACTGCAATATTGTCAAAATAGGATCAAAAATAAATTAAAAATTTATTTTATAAAGTCGGTTTAGCTTTAGCTCTCGACACGACCAAAAAATTGATCAAGACAAGAGATTTTTCTTATTGAATCGTTGTACATATGACAAACGCAATGTTTTACTGTGAAATTGTAAATAAAAACAAATGCTTGCGCCTAATACAAATTCAATAAAATTGTTAGCTACATCACAGTCCGACACATGGGTTATAAGAGGAATTTTATGAATTCTATGGTTCGTTTATTTACTTACTACATACAAATATGCATAATTCGCTCCTTTTGAGCTCTCTGTTTTATTAGCAAGTACAGACTTATAATCATACAGTTACCACCTATTCCAAAAAAGGCGTCGCCCCCACTAAACGGTTTTTCTTTCTCATGGATGCGTTTACGAATATATAAAATCATACCTATATACGCATATACGTGGATTACGCAAGTATGGCGTCTATACCCACGACACGTTGCACAGCAGCCAGCTGTCCAGCCACTGCGCCAACAAAAACATTTCTACTTTAATATTAGATACTTTTTTGTCAGGGGAAATCATCAAATAACGTCTCCCGCCCAGGTAAAGGCGAGAGAAAGTGTCAGACTCTTACTGCTTAAAAACTCCTTCTCCTGCTGCTTGCTGCTTCTCCGGCAACCCCGGCTTAATATCAGCCCTATAGGGCCCCGTCTGTGGTGGTCTATTGGCTCGTTGAGGCGCGCGCGAAACGCTTCGCGCCATACGCCTGGGTTCTGGTCAGGCGGCAGCTACCCACACTTACGGTGGCCGAAGATGATCTTCCGATCCCCGACGCCCGGAGTGTCGCTGAGGAGGAGGATAGCTCTCTCACGCCGTCCGCCTAGCTTCTTTGCGAGAGTGACTAGTTCACAGAAAGAGTAGGCTTCCCAGTTCCTCTCGCTAGTCTAAGATACTATCAGTAAAAACGGCTCAAGACCTAAGTATTACCTAAGACCTAATAAATCACTCGCTGAAACTGGTTGGATGCTATCATTAGGATCAGCGTATTAAAAAAAAATTGAAGAAAAAAGTTATACTTTTCACACTGCCTGGCAACAAAACTGATGTTATGTTACTATAATAAGCACTTAATAAAAATTGACTGCATGATGGATTGCCAAAGTTCAGGGAGACTCGAATTGGGTCAGGTTTAGTAAACATGACCAACACATAAATATATGAATATTGCAGAGTGTTTGGACATCAAAGTGCGCTTTTATCGAGTACACGATTCACAGAAACGAATAAATATTATTACGTGATTTCATCGTAGATTGCATCGCTTTATTTTAAAGATTTTGTGTATGACGATTTACACGAATTTTGTCAAACACTTGATGATAATGGTCCTTTGGTTAGCTTTTCACCAAAAATTATGTTATTTTTTTAGTATTCGATCTGGTTATTTAGTTTAAAATATTAAATATGTTATTTTTCCTTTATACAACCTTAAATTTTCGTCAGCACATTAATTTAG